ATCTGCATTATTTCTGTCTTCGAAAGGATTATGTCAATCACATCTATTTTACAGGGTTTCCAGCAGAATGGGTTATTTGGTCTAGGAGCAGATTTCAAAGACGTTTGCTTGCCGGGTACCTGTGGTTCTCTCTTAGCGGTTCAATTGATCACTCATATGCTCATCAAACCTTTACCGAAATTTACGAGTGATATCATTATACCGTAAGCTAAAGTATGACAGAAGACAAAGATGTCTAAATCAATAATTTTTAGATCAGTGGTTCGGATTTTCCGCCTGAGAAAATGGTACCATCAAGACCGTCAAGATATGAAGGATATGTTGAATGAAGGGGACGAGACTAATGTGCTTGTCAGAGAATGGTTGAAACCAAAGGCGGAGCAGTTTACACAGGGCGAATTCAACGAGAAAATTATACTTTTTGGGACCACTATGGTAGGTTTACATTTAGAAATAATTCATCTCAACTGCTGATCAGAAAACTGTATACCGCATCACAAAGTTATGCATACAAAAAATTCATAGATGCAGCTAATGTTGTTTTCCTGATTGTTACAAGGTGTAACATTCTCATTCAGATGTTTGCTGCTCTTTTTCCTCTAGCGCCTCTGATTGCTCTGATTATTGGACTAATAGACCTTCGTATAGATGCCCTTCGTCTCTTATGGTTTAATCGGCGACCGATCCCAGTAATGGCTCAAGGTACATTTTACGTACATCTTTCCCGACCCAATTTGATATTGTGCTTTCGGCTTTTTTCCCAGATAGTGCATATAGAGAATTTTTGAATATCATACGAATTGGTCCAAATCGTGAACCGAAACAATCACCGATGTCAAAAACAACTATCATGAAGAGGAAATTTTTGAATACTATACTTTTCACGAACATTATTACTCACAGTCAGATTATGACGTGCCATACTTGAAAATGATAAATTCAGCAATGCGAAGTATCAGAACACAAACTCGGCTTTTTCAGGCATAGGTATTTGGCTACCCATCCTCTATTTCCTGCAGTATGCGGCTGTTATGACCAATGCCTTTATTAGTAAGTTGATTTCTTTTTTTT